GTTTATGGTTTTATTCTTTTGCAGTCTGGCATTGTTTTTCTTCTTATTGTAAGATCTCGACTTTCTTAATAAAAATGTTCAATAATAATATTTCAAAAGTTTTATGATTTTTAAACGGCCTCGACGGTTACGTCCTATACGCGACCCTGGTTATTTATTTGATTTATTAACGACGATACTTTGGTGGAAACTGGTAACTGATAGGATGACTCTTTTAAACTGATTCGACACCGACTTGGTTTCACTATTATAATATAACTTTAATATTATAAGTACAACTTTGATAATATGACTAAGTTCAACGCACGAAGATATCGACCCGACTGTCTCTCTATAATTTCGATTCTTTCGACTGTTCTGGCTGGTTCGGAGATAGAGAGTGAGAATTGATCTCACGTTGCCTCGCAAGTCGACTTCTCAGAAATTTCCCGAACAATTAGATCGGTTATAATTCAATATAATAAAAATATAAGGAGCGGGAATGCGTGCGCGCAGGATCTATTTTATCGAGGCGCTGCTCTCGATCAACCGGCTGCCGTCCGCTGGCGCCGTCTATCGTCTGGCATTGTTTTTCTTCTTATGATATCATTTTGTCTTTTTGTGTAATTGTTTAAAAGGATGTTAGAGAGTGTATGCGTAATGTTTATAATTAACATTTTTGTAATTGCCGTTACAATTTGGCACACAACATTTGAAAGGCATTGCTATAAAAGAAATACATAATTTCAATAATAAAAAAGTATGATCCAAATCTAACCTATTATGGTCAGTTTTCTAAATACGTTCATAATTCGGTAAATTAATAAAATTATGACTTACCTCAATAATACAGGCATTCATCAACTATCCACAACAAAAAATTCCTATCAAAACACACTACACTATTAAAAAATTTACGTTAATGTCGCATGAAACACAAGATTACGTTAGAAAACTGAAAGATAAATGGCCTACTAGTGATGACGTCATGATTTCAGTGGAGAGGCCTTGTCTATGGTTGCGTTCCGTTTCGCACATTATGCGCACGAATTACATAGAAAACGTTCCGTTTCACTCAATGCGCGCATGAACAGCGCTTAGAATTCCCTAGATCCCCACCACCTGCAATGCATAATACACGCATCAGCCACCTCAAGTTTGAGTTGCAGCAGCTTATGCGTTCCATTCACGGACTAAGGAATAGAGGGACTGAGTCTAAAGTCCAGTTTAGGCGAGAGCATGGACATAGGAATATAGGGACGGAGCGTAAACTTAGTTGATAGACGAGGGGAGTGAAGCCAAAATGCGGGGGGGTCCGCCATGATACTGTGCCTGAATCTGATTGGTTATCGTTATACGTATGCTGTTGTTATTATACACTAGGGCTGAGTTCCACTTGGTGATCGCAACGCTCGTGAACATTATCTATCTTTTTTTAACTTTCGATGAAAAACAAAGATAAAATGATTCCACAAGCGTTGCGATCGCCAAGTGGAACGTACCTTAGGTAATGCATTTCGTCTAAGTCGAGTTATCAAACATGTTCTGTCAAAGAATTTCTCTTCAAAGTGGACAGAGCAAATACGAGCTGTACTTGGGATAGATGATG